AAAAAAAAAAAAAAAAACCATACAAACATACATGCATACATGCATACATAAGTCGGAAAACTAATGCCTCTCAACCGTAACCTCCATAACTTTATGAATGCCTCTCTCCTGGTCCCCGGCACTGGCAAACACGCCCGGATTCGAATTTCCCAGGATATGTTCTTCCGAGTCATTATCTGCCGTCACTTTCGATGATATCGTCGTCGTGTGCGGCGTGCTATTATCGTATGGTCGAGGGCTTCTGGGTATATCGAATCTGGCGTCGTCGCGGCCGAGGCTGCTGAGAGGCAGTTTCCGACTTGAGGCTCGTGTTTGGCGGTTTCCCGAGGTGAGGGGGTAGTCTTGTCCGGTTGGACGGCGGCGGTAGGAACTGATGTTTGAGACGAAGACGCGGAAGTAAGGGCCGTAGGTTGGGACACAGGCTATTATTACCTTTAGGTTGTTGAGTGGGATGTTAGTTTGGAGGAGGAAGTATGGGCTGGGGCGGATTATTAGGGAGTGGGTACTAACGGCTAGACTGGTCTCAATGATTGACCATAAAATGACCGGTTTGCTGTCCGTATAGGTCTTGAGTCGTGCGATGGTGAAGATGCGGATTATTTGGATGATTGTTACGAAGAAGCCGAGGGCGAATACGCAGCAGAGAGCGACCTGGGGGGGATCGAAGTTTAGCTTCCTCAATTCTTTGTATGCGAGGTAAGAGAAGCCGTGATTGATTTACCTTTTGTCTTTTTCCGAGTTGCAGGTTCCAGAGGACGGGGAGAGGGAGGGCGATGATGATGATGTCGAACCCTAGACTGGTTCCTGTGTTCCGTTAGGCATTGGACAATCAATAGATGGATGGCATAGGCGAGAATGCGAACCTGCCAGAGCTGGAGGGTTGTTAGTTAACCATCAAACCAAGTGAGATTGTTCAAGTAGTGATTACGCACCATAGTATGACTTCAGGGTATTGATACAAGTCCCGCTAAGGCTAGTATCCCATTGCATCGCGATCTGTGGTCGCGTCAACATCATCGCTTACTGGTAGGTGTGGTCTTGATTCCATACTGGTTTGCACGGGAAGATAAAGAGGAAGGTGAATATCACTTGATTGACCGCCACGGCCACGATCGCAACGATTATGATGGTCCGGTACACCTTCACAAATCCACCGATACGAAGGTACGACGCCAGGAGTGAGACCTTAAACCCCAGCAAAGACATCGCGTATAACGGACCGCCAACATATTGGATCTGAGCGAGCAAACGTTAGAGCGCTCATCCATGGCCCGGAGAGGCAGTCAGAGAACCAACACATACCTTACTGAATTCCTTCACATTGGCCGTGGGAAAGTACTCAGCATGAAGACCTAGACCCCATCGAGTCTCTGTGGCAGTTGTTAGGGATCTAGTCTTTCTTTTTTTTTTTCTTTTCCTAACCATGATAGTAGACCACTCACGATATATACTACTCACACCATATCCGGTGACCATGAGCGCACTGTAAAGAGCGGCATAATCATCCAGCCATAATGATCTCTTTGTGTGAATTCGGATGTAGAACCGCAGGGCAACCGCGAGGAGGGCTGCGATCGTGAACACTAGACATATGGCAATAACTTGGCCAAAATCACTGTGTGGATCGGGCTTTTCGAGATTGTACACCCAGCCCATGGTGTTGAAACAGTGTCACAACTTCAGCAACTCATGTCAATTGCAGAATGGGGGCTAGACCGGGGGAATAAGGATGCCAGGGAGGCATTGGTTGTGCACATTCTAAAATGAAATTGATTGTTCTAAGTTTCTTTTTTTTTTTTTTTTTCCTGCTCATTTCATACCAAGGTTCAATAACAATATCGCTTCTGCACTCACTAGTTGCAGCAGAACGCCACCAGAGATTAACTCTCTCCACCACGAGGAATACTAAAATGTGCACCCCTGCAGCTGCAACTCGAACTGAGCCAGCCTTCTGGAAACAAAAGCAAGGGAAGGGGGGGCGGGGGGGCCCGTGTGGGAGTGCCCTGAATAGTTGGTATGTTGCTCAATGGGTCCCTAGTGTAAAGTTTGAGCCGGCGTATGGGGCTATGGGGCGGATAATAATCTGTTCCACTGGCATTTCGATTAATGGTGTCAAATAGTAGCTTGGGATTTCCAGGGTCGGATTTCTCCGGTGGACGGAGTAAGTGCGTTACGTATAAATTGCTTCCCGTGACTTGTGTCGACCCTATTTCTCGGCGTGCCAATAGTTTGGTATACGCGGGGAAGAGTATATGCGATCTTGCTATAAGAATCGGAATACAAGAGTCAAGAATGTATAAAGCTATTCAAAATTATTCAATGTATGACGTAGCGTAGTTATGGAATCGCAACCTCGCCGCCCATCAAGATATATTGTGTAGCAGTCAGTGTTACTCCGTACGGTCTGCCCAGAAATGCTAAGACTCGGGAATTACGGATCAAGGGCCTTTGCTAAAACAGGACTCAGTCCTGCAAAGCCTTGACAAATTAGGAATTTAAATTCGACTGCGAGACATTCAAAAACACTACCGAAAATGACCCGATGCCCACGTGATGAGAATCCCGAATCAGGCAACAGATACCAGTTAATGTGGGGAGAAAAAGGTGGGTTTTGACGTGATACACTAAAGCAAATAAATCAGATCATTGCTTGTACCCTTTACCGCAGATGCCAGTCGCCAAGAATAAGGAGAACTTGAACAAAAGTCAATTCCATGGATGGTGTGTGGTCCCTGTGGTGCCGTGCACCGATCTGTAGAGGTCTGATCGAAGATGGAAGGATCTCAAGAGAACTGCAACCCATGGATCAGATGGCAGTCTATTTGCTCGACTAACGTATGCGAAGGGAAGGTAGTGGCATCGCCCCATGGAAAGGGATAACCCTTTGCCAAGATAAGCTTTGAATGTGCACACACTAAAGGCGCCACGAGTAGAGGGTGACTTGCGGTTTACCTGCCAAATGCGTTCGCTCTGGAAAATTGTTCCGCGGATTACGGAAATGCATACCTATGAAATATATTAACGGACTACTGCAACCTCCGTCCTCCGAGCAATGCCGGAGAGCCGAGGTTCTGATTCTCAGATTCAATTCTTTCTGCCTCCTGCCTTCTGGAATCTGGACTGAGAATGAGAAACGTACGATCAGATCTCCACATGGAATTGACTAGTTTTTGGGGGCGAAGAAAAACCATTGATTAAAGATAGACGGCAGTATTGCTTTTCGGTTATGCGATCAATAAAAATATTCCGCGATATTACGCAGTCTCCTGGAGCGAAGGATGGTGATTGACGTGACAATTAACCCTAAGCATTCGAACTATTTTGCTCCACTGATTCCACTAGCGGAAAATTTCCGGTGAAACGCCACCCCATGAAGTTCGCCCATTGGTTCTCCAAGAAAAATCGAAGAATAATCCATGGATTAATATCAGTCTAAGTAACTTTATATCAGCCTTTAGTTCTATGTACAGTTCCCTAAAAATTCCGCCACTCTTGGTTCATCCCCCCGTCTGTCTTCTTCTTAGACACTGCACAAACGACCATCTTCACGAACAGTCCACTCATCCGCTCCGACAGCGGTAGTGGCGTAAAAGAGATTGTCCGGGTCGTATTTAGCTTTGATCTTGCGCAGGGTTGCGTAGTTGTCGCCGTAGAAATATTTCTGCCAGTTAGGTTGACGGAAGTCGGCCTCGTTCAGGTAGGCCCCTGAGTTAGGGGCGACCTTGGTCAAGGCTGAGATATAATTGTTGGTCATCTTGTCCTGCTCTGCAAGCATCTCACTGCGGGCATCCCACTTCCAGGGGGTGGTGATGGTGGTGTGGATCAGGGTCTCGCGCCAAGCGGGCAGCACCGCGTTGTCTACATCCCCCACTAACGCCTTGGAGACATTCAGGCCCACGCCGATAAAGGTGGCTCCATCTTCGGTGATCTGTCTGTATGCGGCCGTAAGTCCGTCGTTGTTGCTTTCCACCACCGACCGGGGGATCAGCCATCCACCATACTGGGCACTGGCCACCTCGATCGCGCCCTGCATGGCGTTGAATTCCTCCAAGTAGCTGTCGAACTGCTTGGAGTAGCTCGTGTAGGTAATTCCCAGCTTAGTCAGTCCATCGGTGAAGGGCTTCACAAGTGCCTCCAGGTCAGCGACGGGGATGTTGGGTCCGGTCAACGGTGTGATCATAAAGCTGGTGTTAGTGAACATCCAGACGGCCATGGCACCGGCGTCCACGACCGAGGGCAGGACGGTTTGCCAGAGCGATACAGCCTCATAGAAGGTATCCTGGGACATGCCGTCACTGGTGAAGCTCAAGTTGTACCCCGACACCGGAGTGCCAGCGTGCGCCTTGGAAGTCAGCGACCAGGTGATACCATAGGTACCACCACCACCACCGCTGAGAGCCCAGTAGAGGTCGGAGTATTCGTTGTCACGAGTGGCAGTAATGAAGTTACCCTCACCGTCAATCACCTCCCACTCAAGCGCCTGGTCGGCGCCAAGTCCATACCGCGATGACAGGGCCGAATGACCTCCGCCCTGGGTGTAACCTCCAGAAATTCCCACGGAGGGACATTCGCCGCCGACCACCTGAAGACCTGCATTATGGCCGGCCTGGTACGCCTCTCCACCTTGTACACCGGCGCCCATCTTGATGGCCTTGCCTTGGTAGTGCTTGTCCTTGTAGTCCTTGATCTCAATGTCCTTGAGATGGTGCGTCCAGATACCCAGCGCGCCGGCTCCGGTGGACTTGCCGTTGTAATCGTGTCCAGTGTTCCGGGGAACCACACGGATGTTATGCTCCTTCGCGAACTTCAAAGCTGTGGAGACATGCTCCTTCTTAGCGACATCAACAGCGTAAACGACGTAGTTTCCGATGGTGCAGGGCTTCGATTCGGGGTGGAAGGGATCGCAGGTTCCATTAGTGAACCAAGGAGCCATAATCGAAGACGAGGTTTCATAGCTGTTTTAATTAGCGGAAGCCCCTACGGCCATGGCTACAAGACGCAGACTTACTGAAGCGCCGGGTCAGTCCACTGTTCGCTAAGCGTCTTGCATTCAGCGGCGTTGTAATTGGGGTCGTGGCATGGTGTACCCAGAGGCACGGTGGCTACCAGGCGGCCATCAACCGACTCGTTGAATTTAGCCCACACATCCTGGGATGGCCAGCAAGGATCACCCGGGAAGCAGCGACAGTTGGAGTCCGCTTTCACAGAAGCCGCGGCCAGAAGGCCTGTCAAGAGCGACAAGCCTGTAGCTTGACCGAACATTTTTGGTGGTTTGTTGAGAGGTTTCACCTGGTGCAGGGATGGAATGCAAGACAAGCCGGGACGAGCTGCACCTTTATGATCCCTCACACATGGAGTGGAGCGCGATTACTGACTACCCTAAGCAAAACGGCCACTCCTAAATCTTGTGTGCCTGATTCAGGTTAAACCTTCTGATGGGTTAACGCTCATGCCATTGGGTCCCAAAAATCCCACCAGCGATGAACTACTGTAACCTAAAGGACGCGGTGGAGCTAAAGTAATAAATTGGTCGGGCTAAACGTGCGACAAAACTCGCTCTAGTTGAGCCTACAACATCCAATCGTGTACTCCGGAGTAATTCATTTAAGAATGCAATATAAGTTAATTATCAGTTCATCAAAAAATCAGTCTAGCCAAATGAAAAAGAAAAAGAAAAAGAAAAAAAAAAAAAAATCCCTCGTGGGTGCTGCTCACGATAATCTCATTCCCCGAGTCCTCCTCCCGGTCCCATCGCGATCGGTATTCCTGCATCAACACTGCCAGCGACGGCGCTTTCTGGACAAAAGTCCTCACCTCAGGGGTCGGAAAGATGTAGCGCAATGCCGTGTATCTTGCGGCACTAATTGCCGTGCCCGTTAGGAAGTAAACGTAGTAAATCCGCGTGAACTCTACGGGAATTACCACGCCGGGATCGACATGGGCCACGAACCCAGGGAGTGAAGGAACCAGTTCACAAAGCCACTGTGATTGTTAGCCTGATTCCAAACAGCCCAAGAATTGGGAAAAGCTAACCGCAACGGGGGCTCGCCAATTGACCCCGTATGTGTACCAGTAGTAGATACCTTTTAGCCCCCTCGTGACTTGGAAACAAATCCTCTACCTTGATCTTGCGCCGCATCACGGCGAAATAAGACGCTATCATTGACCCTACCATGGGTCCTAGAAAAGATGGAGTAACTACTAAGAACTGCTAAGAACGTGGTGGCTGTGTTGACCAGTTTCCATGGATTGCATGCGACCGACACCAGGGCTGTGATATAGGCGCCGCGACGAAGGTTTATGTATTTCGGTAATGTGGCCGCCCATGTCAAACCCTATCATTACCCAAAAGTTAGTTGCGAAAAAATGGTCAGAAATAACGAGGAATTGCAACCTCCCGCTAATGCATTGGCTGGCACATTTAATCCCATCTGCGACACACACTCAGCGCAGCTCCTCCAAAGAACGCGGCCACTCTTGAGCGTGAACCTTCCATCCTCCATGATAGCGCTGAGCAGGGCGGGCAAGCTCCACAGCGGTTTACCATAGCGATTCTGCGTGGCCGCCGTGACAAGGATTCCCACGGTCGCACATAGGATGCTATAACAGGGAAAGCTGACTAGTTGTCCGAGGATTGCCTCGCGAGGTGTTCGCGCAAACCTTGTATAATCATTCTGGTTCAAGATCCCAGCAGCTGCACCTCCCATAGTACTACTCATGATACCAGAAAGCAATCTTCCATCCGGAGCCACCTACTCCGGGCTCTGAGATCGTACTGCCAAACCCGCTGTCGTCCATGCTGACCAGCGCCCATATAAGGATGACGATCTCGAATATATACGATTGTGGCGGACGAGATATAGAAGAATATCTGCAGTTTTGTGGGACGGATATGTAACACCGGCAAGGAGAGTATCATGAAGATAATGTAAGCCACAAAGTGCGCCGTGGTCATTCCTGTCGACTCGGGCATATGAATCGGTATCCGACTTTCGAGAGATGGCCAGACTGCGCACAATGAGACGTATATGCATTCACCGCCAATTCATGCTTGAACTCCATCTACCATGCATAATGAGTTCGCTGCGATCGGCATCGGTAATGAGAGACCTACACCAGACTACCGGATACATGTTAGCCGACCTTTAGCGACAGCATTTGGGATGAGCAATTCACCGATAGAGTGTAATATCCGATTCCACTGAACAAACAGACTGCCGTAAAGGCCCCAGACATACCTATTGACCAAAGGAAACCCGACTAGAGATGTCAGTGCTGTTGGATACTAGGGCAGGGTACTTACTATGGTAGAACATTCCCGGTAACGAGTTTATCACAAGTAGTCCGACTGCAATTATATTGCCAACAACGATCGCAGCCAGCGACTGACGCCAGGTTAATCCCATGGCAATCAACGAACTTCCTATCATGTAGACTGAGATGTTTGAGCTGGCCAGAACGCCTTGTCTGTCAGATTGTTTCCTTTCTGCAACTGCCAGTTGAGCATACAAAAGTTATGGAAAGTCCAGAAAGTCCAGATTCGCCGATCTGCTTCGATGGGCTTAATGTCATTGTTTGATCCATCGGTTGGAGATTTGTCCTCCGTCATGGGGGACTTCGAGGTGTTTGAGAATAGTGTTCCCCATATTGATCAATGAAGATGATTCAATACCTGTCAGCCTTATTGTGGTCCCTGGTTAAATATATATAAGGTCTTTGAATAGATACCAACGGTTCTCGACGTCGGGAGAATGATCAATTGTGGTTTTCTCGTGATTTGAGACACACATCTATTACACAGTAAAATAAGCAACAGATCAAGACACCGACATAGGGAATGATATGGCAAAGGTAAAACCTAGAGAGGAAGTGCTAGGTAAAATGCGAAACCTTGTTTGGTACACTGAGGGCGTCAGAGTGGTGTTGACTCTGTAAGAACAGTCATATCATGCTCAGCCTTGACGAACTCAGCAATCGGTCAATATATGGCATGCCTCTTCGTCCTCTGTCTAGTTCATTCTTTTTCCCCAACTTTATTCCTTTTCTTTCCCTTTCCCTAGCTCTTAATCCTCGTGAGAACATAGTAACAAGCACCCGTTGGGGTACAAAATGCGCTTCTCCGCTAGATTTCCTGTATATATATAGTAACGGAGCCAAGCCATAGGTCGCTACGGTAAATGCTGCATTATTCCACATAGAAGACTCAAATATCTCTCTAAAAATATGCAAGTATCAAATATGTCGATCTTATATCAGCTCCATGTCGTGAGGGGTCACCACTTTCCCCGCGCCCTAATCAAGACGCCACTCAACCATCGGCCAATTTAATCTCTTTCTCCATCCAGCCATTAACTGCATGACAGTCTGCTTATTCTGGATAGAACTTTGCATGTGCTGGTTACTCAACGTAGAGAATACCTTCCGACTGGGGAGATCGAACGATAAACGCCCTGGAGTGGAATATTTCGCTCGAATATACCACCCATAACTCATAATCACACCTTAGCGAAGAGTAGCTGTCAGCAAGGTTCACCTTGTCAGATCAAAATGACTAAATATCGTATCGGCGTCGACGTCGGCGGCACAAATACCGACGCTGCGATCATCGATATCCTCGCTATTGACTCTCCCTCACGCGGTGTCTGCGCTTCCACGAAAACTCCAACAACCCCGGACGTGACGTCTGGTATATATACCGCAATTCAGGATGCACTGGAGCAGTCCCATGTCGATAGGCAGGATGTTGTTAGTGTCGCGATCGGCACAACGCATTTCGTCAATGCGGTGGTTCAAGCAGACCCGAGTCGACTGAGTAAAGTCGCTGTCGTGCGGCTTTGTGGTCCCTTTACGAGACAGGTGCCCCCCTTTGCAGAGTTTCCGTCCGATTTAAAGGATATCATGGGTGGTCCGGTGTTTTACTTGGATGGTGGTGAGTAGTATTATACTATGTCTTGAATTCTCATCGCTGAGCGGGTAATAATATAACACTGCTAGGCCTTGAAATCGACGGGCGCGAAATCGCACCATTGAAGAAAGATCAGATTAAAGCTACTGTGAAGAGTATTCAAGATGCAGGCATCAAGATGGTAGCTCTTCTGGGCGTGTTTTCGCCATTAGATCACGATGGGATTCACGAAGAGACCTGTAAAAGGTTCATGCTCGGCTTTGACCCCTCGCTATCCATCGTCTGTTCGCATTCTATCGGTCGCATCGGTTACTTGGAGAGGGAAAACGCAACTATCCTCAATGCCTCCATTCTTGGCTTCGCCAGGAAAACGGTCAGAGCCTTTTGTAGCGCAGTGGTCAAACTACAACTGCGTTGTCCGTTATATCTTACCCAAAATGATGGCACCTTGACTGATGCAGGTACGGCGGCTGAATTGCCCATCAAGACCTTCGCCAGTGGACCGACGAATAGTATGACTGGTGCTGCCTTTCTTGCTAACTTGGATCGGGGTGGTGGTCCGAAACAATCGGATCAGCAGGTTCTGGTCGTTGATATCGGTGGGACAACTACTGACCTCTGCGCGCTGCTTCCATCTGGATTTCCACGTCAGGCACCAAACTTCGTGGAGGTTGGAGGCGTGCGGACTGCGTTCTCAATGCCTGAGGTTCTATCGGTTGGGCTTGGTGGTGGTAGTCGTATAGCTGTGGATGAACAGACTGGGGTCGTCAGTGTTGGGCCAGAGTCTGTGGGCCATTATCTCACTAGCCGCGCCATGGTATTTGGTGGTGATGTGATGACTGCGACAGATATCGTTACAGCATCTGGAAAGGCTGATATTGGGGATCACAAGAAGGTAGAACATGTTCCTGCGGAGGTTGTCACCAAGGCCCGCCAACAGATTCGGAAAGTCCTGGAACGTGCTATTGATGGTATGAAGATCTCCGACCAGCCGGTTGTGTTGCTGCTCGTGGGTGGTGGTTCGGTCATTCATATGGATGCTTTGAACGGTGTCGCCGAGTGCATCATCCCGCCGCATCATGACTCTGCGAATGCTGTTGGAGCGGCTATTGCTAAGGTAGCCGGAGAGATAGACGTGATTGAGCTACTAGAGGGTCGTGATGAGAAGCAGGTGCTCGAAGCAGCGAAACAACGGGCTATAGATGCAGCTGTTGCCCGTGGAGCAGAAAAAGAAGGGGTCAGGATCGCTACAATCGAGAAGATCCCTCTTACCTATGCTACAAATAAGGCGACACGGCTAGTAATCAAGGCGATTGGGAATCTTACCCCCCCAAGTATTGATAGCCAGGTGGTACCACAGTCCCAGGTCTTCCAGGAGAGTATAAACGACGATCTCGACGCAAACGATGATGAACCTAGTAACATCAATTCACCGCGCGAGACACCCCATTTCGATGCGAAGCCATCACTCCAGGTCGATCTGGATAGATACCGACCCGATGTCCGCAACAACACATGGTTCATATCCCCCGTCGACCTAGAGTTTATGGCCGCCGGCACAGGAGTCCTGGGAACAGGCGGCGGTGGTCCTTCTCGAATACAGTACCTCCATTGCCTCCAATTTCTGCAAGGTCCGGGATACACAGGAAACATGCGCGTCGTCAAGGCTGCCAGCTTGAGGGACTCGGATGTTTGCGTCACGGGCTCGTGGTTCGGTGCCCCTAGCGTCTCGAGTGAGCGTCTCTCAGCAGGGACTGAATTGGCCTTAGCCATTGAAAGCTGCGCGAACGTTACCGGCAAGAAGGACTTTCATGCCATTGTGACAGACGAAATCGGAGGCGGGAATGGTTTATCGGCATTCCCATCCAGCGTGATGTACGATATTCCGGTGGTGGATGGGGACTTGATGGGGAGGGCATACCCGACGCTAGAGCATTGTGAGTTTCTTGACTCAATATCGGTGATGTTGGCACCATGTGTACTAAACCTTCTAGGTACGCCATACGTCTACGGACTCTCCTCCACTCCCTGCGCCGTCGCAGACGGAAGAGGGAATGTATCTATCATTCTAGTACGATCTTACTATATATACCTCTACACATACAATCAAGTTCTAACCCTAACAGCACGCCGAAAGCAACCGCCGCGCCGAGACAATGGCACGAAGCCAATGTGTCGACCTGGGAAATAAGGTCGCCCTATCGACTGCACCACTCACAGGCGCGCAGACCAAGAAATACATCATACCAAACACTATCTCTCAGGTGTGGTACATCGGGAGGGCTGTGTATCGTGCTCGGCAATCAAAGACGGACATGATTCAAGCTATTGTATTTATCCTATCCCTCCGTTTCTTCTCTCTTTGATTATCGGATTAGCACTAACCTGAGAAGTTTGATACCTCGCCCGGCAAAATCCTCTACACTGGCAAGATCATTGACGTCAAACGGGATGTTAGCCGCGGCTATACAATGGGCTATTGTCTGCTTGCGCCTCTGAGTAGTGACGAGCGAGAGACTACTCTTTCTTCTACTTGTAGTGATGGTATGGAAGAGAATCACTACTTAGTTATTCCCTTCCAGAATGAGTTTCTTTATGCCGCTTACACAGATCCCGATGCTCCAGAGGAGGTATCCAAACAGGAAATTATCTGCACTGTCCCCGATTTAATTTCGATACTAGGACAGGATGGTGAGGCGATTGGATCGCAGGAACTCCGATATGGTCTCAAAGTTAATGTGATTGCTATGGCAGCGCATCCGTTGTGGACGACAAAAGAAGGACTGGGTATTGGGGGTCCGAAGGGATTTGGATTGGATATGGAGTGGACGAAGTTGGGGGAGTACTGGGAGCCGAGGAGTGTGATTGAGGAGTTCAATAGAGTTGAGTAGGTGTCAGATGGAGCCTGAACGGTATATACTAGTTCGGTGAAAGCATCATCCGTAGTAAATGCTACGAAGGACAGAGTCGGGCCTTGCTGATAGACGGTCGCTGATCGTCTTAGATGGGTTTCATTGCACCTGATTTTGAGCAACCCTAAGCTTCAAAACTCAACAGGACTTCTCAAAGGATAAATATAAGCACCTCCAGGATTCTAGCTATATTCGGATGACCACCAAATAAATGATTTTATTGGCTGGACCGTATGTCTTGTGGAGATACTTGACTAGTGCTTATTCTTATCTGTAAGATTTTCAAAAAGGAACCACACAGCGCTCACGTCTAGAACGTCCACCAATAGCCACTAAATTTTAAACTCTAGAATCAGCCCCTCTTCCTTGCCTCAAAGCGTTGATCACTAAATTTAGCTAGTCATTGCGCTATATAAATCCCAATGATGACACAGATCATGGAAATCAGAAGCGATACCTTTAAGTAATTGGTGGGAAGGAAGAGGACCCATTCGGGGGCCAAACTCCCGTTGATGAGAATGTGAAGGTATAAAATGTGTAGAGACGCACTCATTTCCTACACTTTAACTATCTTTACTCTCCATCCTCTTGTCTCCTTCAGCTAAGCGCACATCTTCAAGCATCGAAATGACACAATCTCATCCCAAACCTGATTATGATGTCCTTATCGTCGGTGCCGGGTTCTCCGGGATCTTCCTCTTGTACCAGCTTCGCAAGCTAGGCTATAAATGCAAGATCTACGAGACCGCCCCGGACCTCGGCGGAGTATGGCACTGGAACACCTACCCCGGTGCCCGTGTAGATACAGAGAGTTTTATCTACCAGCTCTCTATCCCGGAAGCATGGAAGGACTGGGACTGGAAGGAAAGATTTCCCAGTCGTGACGAGCTGCAGGCATATTTCCAGCATCTGGGTAAAGTACTCGATATCAAAAAAGATGTCGAGTTCGAAACAAGAGTTGTTGGGGCGCAGTTCGATCGGGATAGCGCCCTGTGGAAGGTGAAGACCGAGGATGGGAAAATTGCTACTTCGCGTTTCTTTTTACCCTGCGTTGGAACGTCGACGAAACGCTATGTGCCTGATTTCCCTGGTCTAGAGACTTTCCAGGGGGATGTTTATCATTCTTCAGCCTGGCCGCGGGAGGGAGTAAATGTTAAAGGGAAAAAAGCCGCTGTCATTGGAACGGGGTCCAGCGGCGTTCAGATCATCCAAGAATGGGCCAAGGAAGCAGACACTCTTACTGTTTTTCAACGAACGCCAAATCTAGCTCTTCCCATGGGCCAGGAAACCTATACGGCGGAGGACCAAGCACATATCCGTTCCCGCTACCCGCAGGTCTTCGAAGACAGAGCGAAAACATTTAGTGGGAATTTGGAGGATTTCCTACCGACGAAATTGTTCGATGCCTCGCCTGCAGAACGGGAAGCCTTATTCGAAGCGAACTGGAAGAAGGGCGGGTTTTCGTTTATTCTAGACAACCACTCGGATATATTACTGGATGAAAAGGCGAATCGTGAATTATATAATTTCTGGGCGAAGAAGACACGACAGAGGATTGTTGATCCTCGCAAAAAAGATCTTCTGGCTCCCCTGGAGCCGTTTCATGCTCTGGGGGCAAAACGGTCCTCCCTAGAGCAGGATTATTTCGAACAGTTCAATCGATTAAACGTTGACATAGTCAATCTGCGTGAAGTCAAGATCGCTGAGGTCCAACCCACCGGTATCGCTACTAGCGATGGAAACCTTTATCCTGTTGATGTTATTGCCGTAGCTACAGGCTTTGACGCGGTGACCGGCCCCATCACGAATATGGGCCTTATAAACACGGACGGTAAGCCGCTGGTTGAGGAGTGGAAGGATGGTGTCCACACGTACTTAGGCATGACGAGCCATGGCTATCCGAATATGTTTTTCATTTACGGGGCTCACGGTCCTACGGCACTGAGCAATGGTCCGGTGTCCATTGAGCTTCAGGGCCAGTGGGTTATTGATGCGATTCAAAAGATCGACAAGGGTGGATTGTCGTATGTTGAGCCTACGGCTGAAGCAGAGCAAAAGTGGAAAGAGTTGGTGAATCAAATTACCGATATGACCTTGTTGCCAAAGGTGGACTCCTGGTATATGGGAGCCAATATACCCGGCAAGAAGCGAGAGCATCTTAATTTTCCGGGTGGCCTAGCGCTGTATGAACAGCAGTGTCGGCAGGCCTTGGAAGCATGGGAGGGCTTTAAAACTGTATAGGTTTATTCTCGAGGCTACACCACTCGCCGAGGTTTCCGTAGATCATTACAGAAGGATTAATAGTCATGATTTCATTGACAAATATCTAGTCTCTATAGTCAAGTCTTATACTATTGCTATAGTCGAGCCTTACCACTCTGTAATACCTCCCAATCGCCCCTACCGAACTTCTTATATGACGGATCCCCTGGAGGCAGCCAGTAGAATTGATCTTCTTTGCCCTCCTCGACCTTAGTCCCAATCTTATCTGGGTCGACCCCTTCATCTCGCAGCGGCACTTTGTTCTGTTTGTGGTTATGGATATGGGTCGAGCTCTCCACAATGCGCAGGAACACTGGGACAGCATATTTAGGGAGCCGGGAACGAGCGAACCTGGCAAGTTCTTGAAAGTTGAAGTTTGCCTTAGCCTCTGGGTTGATTTGAAGAGCTGCGCAGCCTGCCCGGCCTTCGTGGTGTGGAACAGTGACACCGTAGACATTGGCTTCGAGGATACCGGGATATTGACCTAGGACTTCGGCAACTTCTGCGGTGGCACTGTACCACAGTCAGTTCAATTTACTGAACCAGGTCAGAGTTAAAGGCACTTACACATTCTCGCTCTTCCACCGGAACGTATCTCCTAAGCGATCCAAGAAGTACCACCGACCATCAGATTGACGGCGCAAAGCATCTCCGGATCGATAGTAAATATCGCCCTTGCGGAACACATTGCGCAAGAACTTCTTTGAGGTTGCATCCTCATTCTTCCAGTAGCCCTGGAAAGCCTCTTGATTTGGAACGTTCACGATAATTTCACCGCCAGTCTCATAAGGGGCCCGCACAACGAAGCCCGTTTTAGGATCACGGAGGACATCGCCGGTATTTGGGTCAATGGCCACAGGTATGAACACGTTGTGCAGCAGCAAACGCATGATCAGTCCGTGGTGACCGACACTACCGCTCGTGAACGGCCCAGTGTTGTAGTTGAAAAGTGCAAAGATGCCTTCGGTGCTATTGAAGAACTCTCCCACCTCTGCTATGCCAAAGCGTTCTCGGAACTTGTCCCAAACGTCCGGGCGTAGGCCGTTGCCGTACATACAACGCACCCGGTGGTTTCGATCATCAGGCGAGGGGGGCGCAGCGAGTAAATAACGTGCTGCCTCTCCGACATAAACAAAAAACGTTGATTGAGAATCCCGAATATCATTCCAGAATTGTCGCACACTGAACCTTTTGCCCAGACCAATGCCCCTTCCGCTCACAACACAGTTCATCATGGCAATTGCTGAGGTCCCGTGGTAAAGGGGCATACAGCTATACCAACGATCGCCGTTGGGGCCTGGTTTGTCTGCCACCATGCCGCCAGAGCGTATGAGCACCGTGGTGTATAACCGGGACATCGTGAAGGCGCAGCCTTTCGGCATGCCCGTAGTGCCGGATGTATATAGTAGAATAGCCGGGTACTCGCCATCCATGTTCAATGCCAGACGGCCATTCTCAGGAACGTCTGTGGGGAATCGTGACAGCACAGTGGTAGTAAACGTAGGATCTACCGTGATAAGCTCCATGCCGAGGTCGCCCTCGATCGACGATTTGCGCTCGTCTATGCGGGCACGGCACTCATCATCATCATCCACCAGCACCAGCTTGGCACCGCTGATCTTCAAACAATGCAGCAGTGCATCGCCCGACAAGTTATAGTTGATCGCGGCTGGCGCGCATCCAATACTCCACAACCCAATCCACGCGAAGATGAACTCGGCCCGGTTCTGCAAATAAAACGCCACAAGATCACCTTTCTTCACGCCCTTCGATAAAAAGAAGTGTCCGTATTGATTCGCGAATGCCATGATTTCGCGATATGTGTATGATCGCTCCCGCGTCCAAATGCAGACCATATCGGGATATCGAGCAGCGGTTTCTTTGAAAAAGAACCAGATATTGCCCTGTTTCTGGGAGACGGCGCGCGCATACTCGCGCTCGCTGCGCCGGACATTCAAAAGACTGGAGACATCCTTGGAGATGTGGAATTTGGCGTTGAGATACGCCGCCAATGTCGCTCCACCAGCGACTGCAGCTGCTATAGATATTGTTAGAATAGAGAATACCGAATGGAGTCATTATCATACGCACCGAGGCTCATTTTGGTATGTGCTCTAATTAATTTACAGAGTGATAACAACACCTGTAACGTACCGAAGCAGACAATGTATATGTAAGAGAGGATAAGAATGCGGAGATTTCGACGATCTTGTATTTCCTAGCAAGTGCATTATAGCCGACATTGAAAGTCCCTCGGTTGCTCCGCAATGCCCCCTCTTATATAGGAAAGACGCCGATCTTCGACATAACACCAGAGCAAGAGAAGTGCATAGTAGGGAGAAGCTCACTAACTGGAGCATAAAAATGCGGGGTCCACATTTACCCTCGGTTTTTCCATCAACGTACTACATATGCCGAGAGGAGAGTTGCCACGACGCCGAATACGATGGTCACGTCAACTTCTCCAAGCTCCTTCCCCATAGACAAGGCCTCGACTGCCCGGAAACGATTGTTATAAATGAGCCATCCTCCCTAGTACTTGCCAGGAGAGAGGTGACCTTTTAGGAGATTGCCCCTAGGCCTCGGGTTTGCCATAGAACATCAGACGATGCTGAGTGGTTGGTGCCGACGTAGAAAACTGGGTCTGAACGTTAATGCAGTTCCCCACATAATTATGCAAGGTGAGGAGCTAGCAACCCCCCAGGAACTTATTACGAGGGTTCACCAGGATCACTTTTTGTTTGTTTCTCAACATTTTCGTGTTTGTTTGCGGTTCAAGTCCCACTGAAAGTTGAGTGGGGATCCCAATGAGTCAACAAGTTTAGCCCTAAAAGTTGGCTATCGGCGATAGTTCGGCCCGACTTGTATAGAGAGGGACCTCGGTGTAAGTGGGGGACGTCAAGGCAACCTGCGTAGGAGACCTAACAATACACTCAAGACCGTCAAGGTCGATCCACAGCATTAAACAGGGCTCAGTAGTATCACTAATCATAGATCTCAACATGGTTCATCCTGGTAGTCTCGATAGTAACAAATGCCGAGTGGCAAGATACTCCGCGGAGCCTTTTAGCTCCAGCTGAGGACTTGGGTATGAATCCAATCAGAGGATACATTGACTTAGCAAGTTTGAAAGTGACCCGTTGAAATGCCGACAGTTAGCTAGTTAGTTGCTTACTTACATGGTGGCGTGGTTTGTGTGATGTGTCTAGGGCAAACTGTCGTAGTCTAACAAATGGTTAATATTTGGCTTTTATCACTTAAGCATCATGAAAGCTATGTTAGGTTCGTATATTGATATAGCACACCGAATAGCAGCCATTCTTAAATTATGTTAAGACTGGGCCTCAAGTCAACAGGGCCCACATCGGGTACTAAGTGGCATGCTTATACCAAGTACCGCCTCGAAAAAAATAGTCATGGCAAGGACAACTGCCGCAATTAGTGGCTTCGGCCCATGTAGGTCACATCCCTACTTTTCCTTATATTGAATGTAGGAAATCTCACCTTGTTAGTCGAAACTGTAAGCGACCAACATAATTGCACCCCGGACATACGATCTCCGTATCGGCCATGACATTCTCCTAATCAACAATTCCCGGACAAGTCAACCCCGGCCAATAATAATATTCCTGCTGTCTAGCACACTTTATGTACCCTGCCAAGCACTTATAATCTTGCCCCCTCCCGCGTTGCGGAACCTAATCCTGACACGTTCTTAGACGTCCGACCATTATTGCCCTTTGCCATCCCATTTGCCAAGTTCACGCCAAGCGCGATTGGCGGTCTTGCACTCTCCGTAGACACTGGCCATGTCTGGCTGCGGACATGATAAAGATACATAGCCAAGACTGGGGGAGGCAGTGCAAAGCTTGGAATCTGGGGTAAACACGATGATGGGGCTATCTCTAATTCCCCATGTCTCACCTCGTGGCACACGTTGACAAAGCAGAGTATGCTCCGGATGATAAGAAATCTAGCTGGCACTCTGGGCATCTTCTTGTTTTGCTACATGGCAACACTTGAGTATGAGGTATATTTGGACAGAGTTTGCCAATCTTTGGGCTATACGCTATCTTCACGTCTGTATAGGTCGTTTCTTCCCGTTGTAGGATAGACTAACCCGTGGAAGTAGATGTCACCGCTCTTGGCCTTCTGGATGTAACCCCGCAATTTTCATAGATGTGATCTGGGGTACAGATAGGATCTGCAATGTGAGAGTCGTAGTCGGGTCAAGGGCGAAGTAAGTATAAAAGCCCTTCCAATAGTCACCTGGTCATGTTCTTCCTGTTCCCAAAACCATTCCTTCTTACCTGTCTCCTCGAAATAACAACCCTGGCAAGATGTCTAACCCAGAGAAACCCCCTCTCCCAGACACAGACGAAAAGCCCGAAGCCCTCCACCGGGAGTACACGCTGGGCCAGGATGGCGTCAAGTCACCACATCACCAGGGCGACTACTCCGGTGCGCGGAAGAAGACAGACCCTGTGGAGATCCGTCTGGTCCGCAAACTAGATATATGGATCATGCCCACATTATGGCTGATGTACTGGCTCAACTACCTCGACCGTAATGCAATCGCCTTGGCGCGGTTGAATGGCCTCGAGGAGGATTTGAACTTGTCGTCGTCCGAGTATCAGACTTGCGTTTCTATCTTATTCGTGGGATACCTTCTGGGACAGGTTCCGAGCAGTGAGTCTTTTTCATTATTCTTTCTCGGCTTGATGTAACGGTTACGAGTATAGGCTGACCTCGTGTGTAGATATGTTGATTACTAGGGTGAAACCATCGTGGTATATGGCTGGATGTATGGCTCTGTGGGCTGTTGTTAGCGCTATTACGGCTTTGGCAAAGGACTTCAAGGGACTGCTGCTCGTCAGGTTTTTTCTCGGTGTTACTGGTATGTGCTTGCATTCCCTCCCTTAGTAGCTACTCCAGTGGACTACTTGCTGATGATATGACAGAGGCCCCATACTACCCAGGTAGGCCCATATTGCACCCCCGGCATTTCCACCTAGACATATTCTGACCCATGCACAGGAGCTCTTTACATGTTGTCGATCTTCTACACACGGAAAGAAATCGCAACTCGCATCTCGATCCTGTATACCGGCAACATCCTCGCAACCGCCTTCGCCGGCCTCATCGCAGCAGGCATCTTCCACGGCATGGATGACCTCGGTGGCATCTCTGGCTGGCAATGGCTCTTCATCCTCCAAGGCGCAGTCACCTTCCTCGTTGCCGTTTTATCAATCTTCACACTCCCCGACGATCCCCTGGTTACCCGCTGGCTCACCGAAGAAGAACGAACCTTAGCCCACGAACGCATCGTAGCAGATACCGTCGGCGCCCGCCACCAAACCAGCACCTTCAGCGGCCTCAAAGAAGCAGCCCGGGACCCGAAACTATGGCTCTTCGCCTTCATGCAACACATGCACCTCGCCGCAAACGGCTTCAAGAACTTCTTCCCCACAGCCGTCGAGACATTAGGCTTCTCAACAACCATTACGCTCGTGCTGACCTGCCCGCCGTACTTAATTGCCGGGCTGATCTCCGTGTTTTGGTCGTGGAGTTCCGGCAGGCTTAATGAGAGGACTTGGCATATTACTGTCGCCAAGGCGATTGCTATCTTCGGGTTTATCCTGGGTTGTGCGACGTTGAATACTGGGGCCAGATATTTCGCCATGGTTGTCTTTGCTATTGGTACTTATGCGGTTAATAGTATCGTGCTGGGTTGGGTTAGTAGTACGTGTGGTCAGACTAAGGAGAAGAAGGCTTCCTCTTTGGCCATTGTTAATACGATTGCTAATGCTTCGTTCGTTTGGACTCCGGTATGTTCTTTTTCTTTTTCTTTCCTTTCTCTATTTCTGGATCGGTTATTGTGACTAGGACATACGGAAGTGGTTGTGCTAATGGTTTTAGTATCTCTGGCCCTCGTCTGATGAACCTAGGTATACGATGGCAATGTCCTCCAGTGCGGCGTTCTCGCTTGCCTGTGCGGCCAGTGCGTGGGCTATGAAGATCTGGCTTATTCGGGCAAATAGGAAGATTCGTGGGAGCAATGATGAATCGGTGCTATACTATGCTTATTAGGGTATGGGTTGGCTGTTGCGACCATGAATTCCATTCATGCTATGTATCTAAGTGAGCTGTATGTACTGCATACAAAAGCGTCACTTGATCCGAATTGCCAGTTACGTGTTTCATATCCTTCCTCCCCATGATTATTCATAGTGGTCTTGGTGTTCATTCTCGGGCTTCCTGTCCTTATTATGTTTGCTTGTCCTGCACTTCCATCTCTTCGTTTGTGATTTCTTTGATAGCGCTTGCTCAGTAAACTAGTTCGTAAAAGATATGCCGCTGGCTAGTGCACGAGGCCTAGCTGAGTGATCACCCCCTGTTCGAAAACGAACTGCATTCCGACCGCGATACGCTCCTTCTCGTAGTATTCATATCGGCCCTTGAAGAGCTCGTAGCCGCCCGGAGACAGGAACCCTCGATATCCCAGTATCATATTCTTCCATCTCGGCTCAGTGATGAACTGTTTGTGAGAGGTGTTAGTGGTGCAGAACGGAAGATGGCACCAGAAAATAAGGAAGAGAAGAAGCAAGAAAATAAAAGATAAAAAAATAAAGCCAAAGGAAAAGGATAAGGGGAAACAAAGGGACATAAATGGTTACATACCACGATGCTGCTTACTCCACAAGGCTCCGTGTATCCCAGACGTTTATCAGTGCAGTTAATAGCCACGCCGGTGATTCTCTGCTCATTACCCGGGTTAAAAGTAATTGTATTACATGTGCATTGCGAGATAGATCTATCATTCCCAGATTTACCGACTAATTGTCGAGTTCCGTCACTAAACCTGAAGAGCAAGCCGCCGATTGCTTTTCCTTGGCCGAAGGGAAAGAATGCTGTGATGCTGTCGAGTATACGGGAACGGAAGTCGAGGAACTGTACGGCAGTCTGGGCCCTCCTAATGTTGAGTTGCTTCAGGCTCGGCATAAGTCTCGCAGGCTCGTTGTCGGGCGATGGCCAAATGCCGATCCAGCGAGTGGTCGCCAATAGATCTCCTTCCATATCCCACACGAATCCCGGAGAGGCTGTAGCTAGATCCGCGACGATTATACCGAATTGGGAGATATAGTCTTTCTAGGTTGGGTTAGCAATCGCTGTTCAGTAAGTCTACCATGTGGTTATACGTACGGTGTATTGCGCACTGAAACCAACCAACGTTTCGATAGTCCTTGCGCATAAGACATGAACGATGTCTTTATTGGTCCAACGACCGAACCTGGCATAGGGACGGTGATAGTTGCCATCTGTTAATATTGCGAGGCCGTGTATCTTATAGTTCGTGTGGGACTCAAGCATCGGACCGAGCGATATGACGAAGCCGTTTATAACCATATCCTTTGGAAACGACACACTTTGCAGCGAGTTGGTTTGATGACCTACGAGGCGACCAGATTTATCTCCTTCCAGTAAGAATTCGATACCAACCGTGCCGCCGTCCGCGCCAAAATACACTTTGACATTCTTAGGACTGGGCGGATTTTCAATCACAGGTCTGATATAGACATCTGTATATTTCTTAGCAATTGAAGCATCCCAGGAGAACGTCACCGCTCGAAAGCTGGAGAGGCCTAGTATCTGTGTTGAGACACCTTCATGATTGTCTTGGCTTGCAACAGAATCTTCAATGTCATCAAGAATCCGATCAATGCACATCATAATTCTACGCCGGTTCTGCAAGCCTAGATACTCATCCCATGATCCGTTCCTATCATCAGGAGTGACAGTAACCTCGATCAGCCGCACTGCGAGAATCTTATAGTCAATCGGATCTTCAGTCTCGGTCAGCAGCTTGTTGAGCGCGGTGTGTTCGATCCAGGGCATCCTGCCCTCAATTACGGAGTGCCAGTACTCGTTTGGGAGTGAGGTGCTAGCTATACAGAACGCCGGGCTCGCCCGCAGGACATCAAAGAGCGATTCAGCTGTGAGGAGGTGTAGAATACTTTGACGCAGTTCAACTGGGAAGCGCCAGAATGGATCAACGGATTTACAATCTTTTGCTTCGTCCCATAATTCTGCATTGATCTCCTCTGGACCGTCGCGCCTTGCCTCTTCCAGGAGCTGAGAGAAGTCCGGTTCATAGTTGGGGTCTGTAACAAGCCACTAGGGGCCAGGTTAATACCTTGAGTAAAAACTGGCATTGGTCATACATACCTCGTATCCATCGAGGGCCATCCACCTATGTCCTTGGAATTGCCCGGCGCCGCCATAGTAGCAATCACCCCAGTTGATGACGGCGTCATTGCTCATGCACTTGCGCATTTCCATCCGGAGAAATATCTCGCGTCCCAGGGTGGTCATGTACTTATCCCTCATTCCCATTTCATGAAGCATCATAAAGCACGCATTATGTACGACGAATCCCTCATCCCACGCAGCGAACTCGAGTTCATTTTCATGGCCATTTATATTTGTTCGAAAGATACGGGATGGCTCGTATTCGTATGTTCCCTTAGTTTGCTTAGTATACACAACTGGTCTTTGAGATTATGATTATAAGTAGCTCAAGGGGTTTACTCACCATCGTACTAACGTAGTATGCACCCTCTTCCTCTAAGTCCTCTCCATCATGAATATTAGCGCACACGATCCTAGTCAAGTTGAGCCACTACAGATCTCGTCAGGTACTGGGGTTCACTCCAGTTTAACTTTGGATTCTTGTCCCATACCTCAATATTCTTTGCGGTGGTAAGACGCGGGTCATAGGTAGAATGCTGCACGAAGTTCGTGGACAGCGGCCCTCCGCAAATATTGCAGAAATGCTCGCCTTCATCCATTTTTATAGGTGTGTTGCCACTCTAGGTTCACAAAAGAGCCTACCTGACGTAGGAAACACTGAACCCACGAAAATGTGACGTCAATGGCCTTGGTCCTGTCACTGGGTTCAAGGATGAAGAAAGGTTATAGTGATTGTGTACTGAGACGAAGTATCTTAAGATATTTAGAGGGTACGATCCTTGATAGCCAGCAGCTGTGCCGTAGAAGCAAGCTGCAGGCCCTTCTTGAGTAAGTATCAAGCCTTATAAATTAGCGGTTCCCTCAGTCCTTCTAGAGATTGCTGTGATAAGCAATGTGACTGTTGATTAGGCTCATCACATTTCACAACAAAGGAAAAAGAAAGAACGCCCGCGGTCAGCGAGAGCTTACACAATCGGCTTTTCTTTCTATAACCAAGCTGCTGGGTGGTACTGGCTAATGGGAGATTTTCTGGAAACAAACAATCTTATAGATGGTGAATTTCACCGGAGCGGGAAAACCAGATGGCCGGTGAGCTTGGGTGTATATCTGCATATATCCACGACTTGGTTGATATATTCTGACCAAAGATGTGTATACCATTCACAGTTCACAACTCTCCTTTATTAAGCAAAAATGGAGCTATCTTGACCCTTAAGGTAGTGACCTCTTATACCTAACTCTATTTCTTATATGCTAGTAACGAAGCCTTATATCCCAACTAAAACACTATACCGCGAGTGGAAGACGATCCTTGAGTCATGCAAAGTCTCGAAAAACTCTCGTTGGCACCAGCTTCTCATGCACACCTCTCTTGCTTTCGTGGGCTGGCTTCCACGCCCAGGCCTGATCCTTCTGCAGGCCGTTGCTGACACCGTTCAGCACGTTTACCACGTACTTCCCAATTGTCGGGAGGAATTTGTAACAGTGGAACGAGCCCCCTACCGCAAAGTACAGGTTTGAAAGGCTAGGGTTCGGGTGTCTAGTGATGAGTGGCTGTTGATCGGGGGTAATAGAGTCCCAGCACAGTCGATAGTAATCTGGTTTGCGGTCACCGTCCAGAACCTGAGGTAAACGCGGTTTGATCAAGTTTATCGAGTCTTCCTGCAGACCCGCCGGAGCATTTATTTGGTCCGGAACGGGGACGGATATCTCACGGCCAGACACTGTGCTGATTATATTTTTGACGGACGTCGCAAACGTGAATTTAAGGATCCCTGAATCCGTTGGAGGTATTACTTCCCCTATATACTCTCAGCACAAGCTCGTTAAGTCGTTAGGTATTAACAAACCTTGTCCGCCGTATACAAACACCGGTAACTGCGAGTATGCTTCTTTCTCAGCTTCAGAAAGCTGAAAATGGGCAACACAAACACCAGCAGCAGATGCCTGGCTCTCTACCCTTTCTTTGTCAGGTAGTTCCAGCTCATCCTCGATGGAAGACATTAACTGGCTTGTCCATGCTCCTGTTGCCAGAAGGATCTTGTCTGCTTTGAAGACCGCGCCACTATCTGTTTCAATTGCATGCACCCCGTCTTCTCCGCAGACAACCCTACTTGCCTCGCCAATCTCATACTTAACACCCATCTTAACGGCTTCATGAGCCATAATGGCTAACGCCTTCCCGGCATCGGCCCATCCCGCCGAGGGATTGAAATAGTATGACCCAAATGGACTGCAATCTGTTCTCTGAAGTAGCCCACCCCAGCGACTCTTTACTTCTTCCTCAGTCATGTCGACGATCACATCATCACGACCACTTTCAGAGAAGTTCTTCCTGATACGGTGAGGCGTGTCACTGTCTTTCTCATCCATCGCAATCCATCCTGACTGATGATAGACACCCGCATCTTGGAAGAATGGGAGGGACTTCCAGGCCTCGATCGCTTCAAAACCCAGACTCATATACAATGGGTTGGAGTAGTCCGCGCGGATGATCTTGTTGATATCCGTTGATGCGGCCGGTGTGGAGGGAGGGGCTCCTCGGTCTAAAAGTATGATTGGAGAAGGGTTGGGACTGCTACGTGCTAGGTGATAGGCGGTGCTGACACCGAAGATACCGGCACCGACGATGAGAATACTGTCTCCTTCCATACTTGATGGTGTGGATGGTTTAATGGGTTTGGTTCCGATCGGTTGGGTTGATGGTTCAAATGAGGGGTTGGGAGGGGTCGTGATTTTATATCGCGCGGGATATCATCCCAACTATTTCTCTGGCTTAGCGAACAACTACCACTACGTATATCTACACAAAACGCATTACTCCCTACTAGGATCTATACTATCACATACACTATAAGCAAGTTGAAGCTCATACGGTAGCCGACGGTGGTTTTTAACCAAAGGAATCCACATTTAATCTCGACTAAATCTTCCAGATCATACAAACTAGTCATCCACTGCTCACCCGGACTTTCAGATAGCTATGGCATAACAATGAGCGTTTGTTAACCTAAAACCATCGGAATATAGCAAATCGCGCGTCAAGACAAGGAATAAACTGCACAAAACCCCAGAAGATATATATCCCAAGCATGTAAATTACTATCTAGACCCTCAATTCCACGGTTCTACGACCACATTTACTCTGGTTATAAAGAGGGGTCCAGTAGTGGTAACTCTTACACAATATATCAATATATCAATAGTAGCCCCTCCCTATTACCCCCAGCCGTGAACCCTCTCTTCTTGAATCCTATTCGAAATCTCCTTCACAAAAGAACAAAAGGAAGAAAGGAAACATAATCCAAAATGCCCACACAAGTCATGCTCCCCCACACCTTCGCCGAAATGCTAAATATAACCCCCTGGGTAGAGTGTCGATGTCTAGGGTTTAACATTTCCCGTCTCCGCCACTGCAAAAACAGAATCAGTCCCGCCTCCCGCGCACAAGCCCTGAAATTACTCAATCTGGTTACGGAACATTTCAACCAGGGTCGCGATATCAGGAGTCTCTTGACAGATTTGGCTTCTATGCTCCTGTGTATAGAATCCCATCAGTCCCAGGTGCGCCGACTGGCCAACAAGTGGGATTTCCAGGCGTGGAGGTACTGGGTTGGTCGACGTGATTCGACGACTACTAATGATATGGGAAACAGTGAGAATAGGTCTGTGCAGGGGCAACAGGGAGCTGAAGCTAGAGCTCTCCGCTCGGACGTTATGCGTGGGCCGATGCAGCCGATGGAGCAGACACAGCAAGCGCCTGCGGAGGAGAGGCGTCCACAGCGACAGCCTCCAGGACAATGTATCCCTGCTCGGTGTTGGGTGGAGCCGGCCAATCGTGGGAATGAGACATTAGTGCGCTCGAGCTCGGGCTTGGGTCAGGCTGCTGGGGTCACGAATACGAGTGTTGTCCCAGGGATGGTGGCGCCGAGGGTGGTTGATGGCGAGTGTGGGATTTGTCTGTTAGGGTTTCTTGTTGACGTGACTGGTGGTTCGGCCAGGGAGTACACTGCGGCTGAGAAGAAGCTTTACGAGACAAGATATGATTATCGGCGGTGGGTGTGGTGTAGGCACCACTGTGGCACGAATTATCATCGAGATTGTATGGATCGGTGGATTATGGTGTCTGGTTTTATGTACCCGAAATGTCCGACTTGTAGCCAATTTTGGCTCTATTGAACTGACTTGGTTATACAAAATCTGATTTTATTTCGTTTGTTTATGTTTTATTGAATTCACTAGTACCAGCTTTTATTGTTGTATTGGTCTTACTTTCTGCTCTGGGTTCGACCGTCTGCTATGTTCTTGTATTACTTGTCGTAAATCCAACTATATACAAAATACAACTTCTACAGACCCACATCGTAGCCATTACAAAAGCATAATCAACAGGTATCAAAGCTTCTTCTACCTTTACAGTCGTGCAGCTTTTTTCTCCGTCATCCGGTTCAGCCAGTGTTGGATAGTGTCGACAAACCCGTCGATTTCCTCCATCGTATTACCCGTATGGAGGCAAACCCGTACCCTCTCCTTTCCTGCAGGAACGGTAGGTGCCATGATTGCACGCACAGTATACCCTTCCTGTTGACATGCTGCCGCCAGCTGACGAGGTAAGGGGCTGCGCAGAGAAAAGATGGGAGATCTCGGGAAGTGATCCACTTCGAAGACTGCTGGGTCCCAGGAACCAAGGTCTTCTAATCTGGTCCGCAAGTATAAGATCAATTGTTGAAGTTTGTGTTGAAGCTGTCGATGTCAGTCCAAATTCTCTAAGAGTCAGTATATACATGGGAAAACTCACGGGTTGTGTGATCCCTTCGGACAACAATTCATACGCGGTGCGGATGGAAGCCAAGAACGGGAAACCCAACGCCGTTGTGTAGATCAAGCTTCGCGCATAGTTGATCAGATAATCTCGGGTATCGGAGCAGCACAATACGATCGCTGAAGAGCTGTCAGGAACATAGATAACAAATGCAGGTTTCTTGATCGCATACCACCATGACTTGCTAAGGCTTTACCGAACGTATGAACACGGATAAATATCCGTTCCTCCACACCCAGTTCCTGAACTACGCCAGCCCCGCGTGGACCGAATGTACCCGTAGCATGCGCTTCGTCCACAATAAAATAGCCGTTTCCCCTCGGCAGCAGGCGATCAACGACTTGGATGAATTCGCGGATCGGCGCAATGTCCCCGTCCATGCTGTAGACAGATTCAACCACGATGAAGACATTCCGGGAGCCATCTTGGATCTTGGGATCAGCGTCGAGCTCTGATTGTAGGACAACTTCCAGGCTCTCGGGTGAGCTGTGTGCGAATTGAACCCGTTTGCCTGCTCGGGACAAACGCATGCCCTCTCGTGCGCTTGCGTGGATCAGCTCATCGTGTACAATCAGATCTCCTGGCTGAGGAATGCACGATAAGACACCGACATTGGCGTCGAAGCCCGAATTGAACAGCAGTCCACTGGGGGCATTATGGAAATCGGCGATGAAGCTTTCAAGCTCCTCGGCATAGGTTGAGTTACCGTCCAGAAGCCGAGAACCTCCACTGGCAAAGGGGTAGAGTGGAGGTGCCTGTTGCAGGTGGTCTAGTAATCGGGCTCGATATGCTGGCGACGTTGATAGTGACAAAAAGTCGTTGGACGAGAAATCCACCGACGTCTGAGGGAGCACTGTGAGCCTTCGACGAGCCGATTTCAGTTCTCTCCGGTGTAAAGCCTGACGCAGTGAGCCACGCAGAGACTTGGGGGAGGAGACATCCATTGTGACTAAGTTCAAGTTTAAGTCGTTCAACCAGAGGCACTAAGTGATTTACCACACCCAAGAGGGAAAGGGGCACGACAGAGGGTACTCTTATAGGTATGGTGCTGCCTCCCCCTCTGGATAGAGGGGATCGCGGGCATTCTCATCCTTCACACCGGAGACGTGGAGCCGGGGATTTTCACAATGAACTGCGTGACAAGAGTGGAGCTACTGTTTCCCGTCATTTGGTGGCTTACTCCGAGTGAAGACTCAAACCCTTTTTCGTTGTTGATTATTTCTCTGGTTATCCCACGTAATTCAATGACATGAAAACACTAATCTTTACAATGTAAGACTGTCATTTACTATAGTGTATAATTTTGTAATAAAGATATATTTATAGGAATCATTCTTGAGCCATACATATTACCAGATATTATTCAATTCCTCATAAGTGTTGGTTTGGCAGGTTCAGTTGCTCACTATGGGGAAAAAGAGACCTAGGGTACGATGCAGGCTGGTTTGAGTTTTGACCTTGAAGGTAAAGTGTAAGGCGGCCCGCCAGAATAAAGGGGATCCTCTCCAGAAAAAAAAAAAAGTTTGAATGCATATGAGAAAGTTGAAGCGCGGGGAGGGGAAATGACAAGGAAAATACCAAAACAAAACAAAAAAAGGAATATCCACAAAACTCAGGCCGTTGAGGACCAACCGGTGGGGGGAGGCGGCGGGCTGCCTGAATGCCTGGACAGTGTGGCTCCCTCCGGGGCTGCCTGAATACCTCGGGCCAATTCAACCATCATCTTAGCTCCGGTTCTGGATCTCTTACTCCTCTCGTATCTCTAATTATGAAGTAGGCTGTACACAATACTATTTTTACTTTTCTGACTGTTATAATAACAGCATTATTAATCTTATTGACTCCTTCTCCTCCTCCTCCTTCCGCCTTCTCTTCTTGTTCTCGATCATTCGATGTGTGCTTAGTAGTACCATCTACCAGCTCTGACTGTGATGTCTCCAGTGGGAGCTGCTCTCTGGCGTTCCCTTCGCGCCCATCAGGTTTACGGCGCCAACACTGATGTGGGCAAAACAATTGTCTCAACCGTTCTTTGTAACGCGGTTCAACGTCAAAAGTCCCAGGATCAGGCGGCCTTTCTGAAACCCGTCTCAACGGGGCCATTGGATGACGCGGATGACCGGTGCGTGGGCTAAATCCAGCTTACCACCAACCAACTCGTCACATATACTGATCCATGATCTTAGACATATCCAACGCCATGCTGTGGGTACATTGACTAAGTGTCTCTATCAATTCGATGAGCCCGTAAGTCCGCATATCGCGGCTCAGCAGAAGAAATTTACCGTACGAAAACCATCCACTCCCACTTGAGGTACTAAACACTAACACTCAAATAGATTCCCCGGGATGATGATATCGTGGCTTCGGTCCACAAGACCCTCTCTGACTGGGCAGGCAGCGGGGTCAATTTCGCCCTGGTAGAGACCGCCGGTGGTGTCCATTCCCCCGGCCCCAATGGCAATTCCCAAGCAGACCTCTATCGCCCACTCCGGTTACCGATTGTTCTAGTCGCAGACTCCCGACTGGGCGGTATCTCTTCGTCTATCTCGGCCTACGAGTCACTTTTACTTCGGGGCTACGATGTCCACTCGGTTTTACTGTTTCGCGATGAATACTACAAGAACCATGAATACTTGCTGAACTATTTCCAGAAGAAGTGTATTCCTCTTGTTCCACTACCTTCGCCTCCTCCAAAGCCGCCAGTACAGGATGCAGATTCCTTGGCGCGGGATGAGGAAGCCATGGCCACATACTATGGTCGCGTTGCACAGGAAACGGATGTTGCGAGTCTATTGGAACAACTATCTGCCAAGAACACGGAAAGGATCGACCGTCTGGAATCTATGGCTAGCCGGGCGCATGGCACCATCTGGTATCCATTCACGCAGCATCATGGCATGGAGGCCAAGGATATCACGCCGATTGACTCCGCTTATGATGACTATTTTCAAACATTTGTGAATTCGGACGAGTCCCATCATGAAAGCAAACTGCGTGCCACATTTGATGGGTCTGCGTCCTGGTGGACGCAAGGTTTGGGTCATGGCAACCCGAGTTTGGCTTTGTCGGCTGCATATGCCGCTGGACGGTACGGACATGTAATGTTTCCAGGAAATATACATGAACCTGCGTTGTCGCTGGCAGAGCTCTTGGTCAAGAGCATTGGCAATCCTCGCCTCCGGAAGGTGTTTTACACCGACAACGGAAGTACCGGCATGGAGGTCGCTGTGAAGATGGGTCTCCGGGCGGCATGCGACCGTTACGGATGGGATGCCAGCCAGGAACAAATCAGCATCCTCGGCCTCAAGGGAAGCTATCATGGTGACACGATTGGCGTCATGGATTGCTCAGAGCCTTCCACTTTTAACAAGAAAGTCGAATGGTATCGCGGCCGAGGATACTGGTTTGATTTCCCGCAAGTGAAGATGTCGCAAGGAGTGTGGAAGGTTGAGGTTCCCGAGAGCCTCCAGGAATCCCTGGGCTCAGGACTCGAATTCTCATCACTAGATGGCATCTTTAACATAAAGGAACGACTACAATCGCCCGCGGGAAAGCGCTACAAAGACTATATTCGGAATACTATCCAGGATCTAGTTCAACAACACGGAATGAAGTTTGGTTCTCTTATCATGGAGCCCATCATTCTAGGTGCTGGCGGCATGCTGTTCTGGTCAGTATCGATATGTTCGGTAATCTAAGACGTGTGACTAACGGACTTGTTTAGTGACCCTCTGTTCCAACGGTGTCTCGTCGACGTTGTCCGCGGCCATCCTGAGCTGTTTGACACTAGCGCGGCTAAGTCTGCCAAGGATCATTCAGAGGCCACCTCCTGGTCTGGTCTCCCTGTTATCTTCGACGAGGTGTTCACCGGTCTTTACCGCCTTGGCCGTAAATCCTCAGCCTCGTTCCTCCAAGCCGATTCCGACATCGCTGTGAACGCGAAGCTTCTCACTGGTGGCCTTCTTCCGCTATGCACTACGATGGCCAGTAATGAAATCTTCCAGGCATTTTCGAGTCCGGAAAAGAGTGACGCTTTACTGCACGGACACAGCTACACGGCCCATGCTGTGGGCTGCCAGGTGGCTGTGGATTCGCTGCAGACCATGATGCGGATGGAAAACAGTGGGTCCTGGGATGGGTACCGCCAGGACTGGAAGCCAACCCTGTCAGACCTGAGCGCTCGGGACAGCCCCGATGTCTGGAGCATCTGGTCTCATGGGTTGGTTAGTGATCTATCTCATGCGCCATCGGTGGATGGCGTGTTCGCCATTGGAACGGTGCTCAGTATCTCGCTGAAGGACGTTCAGGGAGGAGGTAAGCCACCCATGCGGTTCCATCCCCTTTCAGCGCGTTCCGGACTAACATGTGATGTCTCCACCGCGCAAATAGGCTACACCTCGACAGCCGCCAGAGGTTTGCAGCAGCGGTTATCGACGACCGACGGAAAGTTTAACGTCCATTCGCGTGTTCTCGGAAATGTTTTGTATCTCATGTCTAGCGTTACTTCCCAGCCGGAGGCGCTACGCTCCATCGAGGGGTTGCTGCGGAAGGCCCTCTTGTAGTGACAATTCCTGTGTAATTTACTGTACATTGGGATACATTGCTCTTAACGCCTCACCAAAAGTCAATGGGGAAGACAAGGTAGGTAAAAAAGAAAAAAAAAAAAAAAAAAAGAAGGCCCTAAATGAGATTAATGAGTTATGGTTTTTTGAGCGAACCAAATGAAACTTCCCGTATGGTTTACCTTCCCGGGAGAAAATTGAGTTTTCAAATGCTTGTTTCGTACGGTTATTATCGGGTAGACGATGACGATACGGAGGCTGAGGACAAGATACTCCGCACTAATGCCCTTGTTAAGGCCATTTATTCCGGAATAGTTGACTGTGGACTCTCTAAACCAAAGTATCCTGGAAGCGGGAGGATGCTTACTGGAGGGATATATATTACAGAGGCATTCAGAGCCAATTGCCCTCGGTATTGGTTTTGTAATGATCCTCTATTGTTGATAATTACCGGGACAAGATGGCAGGCAGTGTTAGTAATTATTTTAAGTCAGTGATGATCGTACGGAGTAGGGTTGGAAGTGCCTGGCGATCATTTTAACCTTGGAACGGGAGTGTCATCAACTTCAATGGGCTTTTCCCGGTGACTCAAACCAAGTTAACCTTCGGACTAAGTCCCTCCTACTCCGGGAGTAATGCCTATGTTTGGAAATCTCCCAATTCGTTCGATTTTTCGTTCACCGACGGCCCGAGGGTCCCCAATGTTGCGGCCTGATTGGCTTGGATCGACACGTGATGATTGGCAGACCTTCCGATTGAGGTCACGAGAATGAAAGAGATGGATCCTCAGGCAGCAAGCATACCATGTTTCCATTCTCCCGGATGAATAGTACCTATGATAGTACTTCGTAGTACTAGTAGCAGCACGGTTAACCATCGTACTCCGGCCGGTGGGGATCCTCCCACCAATACGTAACTCGCCCGCTGGATCTGCGTGTTTAATCCACAGCCTCCGTCAACGATCCATTGACCCCTCAACAGTTGGTCATTCCAGAATCTCTCCTTGGCGGGAAAGAAAAAAGTGGGCATGCTCTTCAACCCCCCCCCCCCCCATCAAGGCACTACCACGGCTGTGATTACAGAATGGTGGTGATGATGATGATGCTGCTGCTTATTCTTCAACCATCTACCGAACATTGTTTGCCAATGGGTTGAACCCCTCGTTGGGGTCAACATTCAGCCCACGATAACAGACGCAAAGTCACTTCTGTTCCTGAGCCACAGCTTTATTTGTATCAGGTGGTCGCTGACTGGGTGAAATGATTAGACTTCCTCCCCTCCCCCCACTGTGAGTAATAACAGGTAGTAATTGAACAATTAACAACTAACAACCAACTTACTCCGGGATAACACTGCAGCTCTGGCCCCCTCCCCTCCCCCTTGGCCGGTGAGCATGATTTGACTACTACTTACTATCTACCCCTCTCATCCACTTTTCGTCTCCTTGGTCCTTTCCCGAGGTTGTGGTCTTTTCTTCGCCGTCACTTGGCGTCATTGACCTTAATTCTTCTTAGAAGCTGTCATGGTGCTTTTGTATCCCCTCTAACCTAAGTACTGCCTTCCTCCCGCTCCCATTGGATTTCGATCATTTCTTCTACATTACGATCACCATGTCACTACTCCCGCGGTCCGTTCCTCGGATCATCCTACGAAGGTCCTATGGTACCGTCCAGTCCTCCCCCAGTGCGGCTTCAATTGCCAGCAGAATCCCGGTAGCTCTGCAAGAGGCAACGGCCGCAACAGTGCCCCGGACCACATGGACCCGCGAAGAGGTCCAGCAGATCTATGAGACCCCGTTGAACCAACTGACCTATGCGGCGGTATGTGGCTTCTTTTTCAATTTATGTCACTTTTTGAAATTTTTTTTTTTTTTTTTTGCTGTTTGCTGTTGATTGTTCTTTCAACATGATACCGCGATCTTGGAAGCAAGTTTACTCATTCCAAACCAGGCTGCCATTCACCGTCGATTCCATGACCCATCCGCCATTCAGATGTGTACCCTGATGAACATTAAGACCGGAGGATGCAGTGAGGATTGTTCCTACTGCGCTCAATCGTCGCGTCACAACACCGGTTTGAAAGCGACAAAGATGAGCCCCGTGGATGATGTGCTGAAAGCCGCCCGCATCGCTAAAGCGAATGGAAGTACCCGTTTCTGCATGGGTGCGGCCTGGCGTGACATGCGCGGTCGCAAGACAAGTCTCAAGAATGTCAAGCAGATGGTGTCGGGCGTCCGGGAAATGGGGATGGAGGTTTGCGTTACTCTGGGCATGATTGACGAGAACCAAGCCAAAGAACTGAAGGATGCCGGCTTGACGGCTTACAACCATAACCTGGACACGTCCCGGGAGTTCTACCCCACCATCATCACCACCCGGTCGTACGATGAGCGCTTGAAGACCCTCTCTCATGTCCGTGACGCGGGAATCAACGTTTGCTCCGGCGGTATTCTGGGCCTCGGTGAGGCGGACTCCGACCGTATCGGTCTCATTCACACAGTTTCCTCTCTACCTTCCCACCCGGAATCCTTCCCCGTCAACGCTCTGGTCCCCATCCCGGGTACCCCACTGGGTGAACGGAAGATGATCTCCTTTGACAAGCTCCTCCGCACCATCGCGACGGCCCGTATCGTTCTCCCCGCGACGATCGTCCGCTTGGCCGCGGGCCGCATCTCTCTTTCCGAGGAACAACAAGTCCAGTGCTTCATGGCCGGTGCTAACGCTGTCTTTACCGGCGAGAAGATGTTGACGACTGATTGCAATGGCTGGGATGAAGATCGCGAAATGTTTGAGCGGTGGGGCTTTTACCCCATGAAAAGTTTCGAGAAGGACGCCGACGCCTCCGTCTCGAAGGAATCCGCTCCTCCGTCGGCAAATGTATCCGCTGCGCCGGCCGCCGCGAGTTCGTAAATAGTTCTGTTTAACCCCTCTACTAGATCTGAGATTATCAAATCACTCTACCCGCCCTTTGCGTATGAGTCAACCCTATGAGGCATTATTATGATCCAATAGAAATCGTTCGATCGACCGCTATAGATGCCTGGTCCCCTCCACTCGTAGAATTGATTCGACCCCGGGCTCTGCCCATGTCTTGGAAATCCCTTGGCAAGTATCTATGATGCGGACAGCGGTGCAATTGCTCTTGTCTGTATCACCCAAATAATGACGGTTGCCTAATAGTCATCACATGAGGCTGGTGCTGTGTTTTTTTTTTTTTTTTTT